TTATTCTGCATTTTTTCTACAGAAGTTTCATAGTAATTTTAATACACCTAAATTCTTTTGGTCTGAAGGATTTTTGGATGTTGTGGAATTGATTACAACTTCATGGCACATTGCATTAGAATAATACCTGTATTACTAGAGTTCTGAAAGAAGCAGAGGCCACAGAATTCTAATTACAGTGTTAAAAAGGTTTTGATGAAGTCTGAATAGCTGCATGTCATAATTTGTGTGTTTAAATTGCTTCATCCTCATTGGCAGTCTGCTGATAAATATTGATGATCTCCTCAGTGCTGTAGGAAGAGATCTGTGTCCTTGCTGGGGTCACTTTGCATTTCTTTGGGGTTTGGTCAGGAATGTGTTTGTTGATGGGACATTTGGAAGGGATGTTGATGTGATTGATGTGATTGGCATCAGGGATTCACCTGACTCACAGCCACCTTTCTCCCTTTTAGTTCTCCTTCGGTGATATTCTTACAACTTCTTACAGGATCACCTGCTATCAGATCACATGCAGGGGAATGACAGCTGTTTAGAAATTCCAACTCACCAGCAACTGCAAGGGTGGAGAATTCAGAGAAATGGCCCATTTTTTTGGTGCTGTATATAGGGATATTCACTCTTGCTGTGTCTCTACCAGAGGCTGTGTTTTGTGGTGAGGAACAGGAAGAACTGTCTGAAATGGGGCTGGAATGGAAATGGGCACTTAGGTGAGACAGTGAGTGTTTGGGCAGTGCAGTGTGCAGGGGTAAATACATGGGTTTGAAATGCTTTTTAAGATTACACTTGGCAATAGTGATTTATCAGAACTAGTAGTGTCTTTTTGAGCAGAGCCTGAATGTAGTTTTCTTTAGAAGATGTGTGGTCAAATCCGTGAGCACATGATTTCTTTGTTCCTGAGCAGCATCTTGAGAAGCTAATAAAGCTCTGGTATCATTTGCTTAATGCAGAGGGTTTCTGGATTCGTTATGACTGAGGTGGATGCAGAGAGCTCTCCGGTGCTGAACATCCAGACGGGTTATTTGCTGTCACAGTTGCAAGCAGGACGAGCCAATGTCCCATCAGGCAGCTGCCACCCATTTCAGGTTTCCTTTGTGGAATCCTGCTGGCTGGCTGGTGATCCTCCTTGAGCTGTGATGGGCCAATCCTCCCGTGACACTGTGGTCCCAGCTCTGGAAAGGCTGGGGAGCCTTTGGTTGCTGGTGTACCTGATACTGATACATGGATCCAGAGCAGTAGGATCATCCTCCTGGCTTGGTTTCATTGTAAGTCTGGATGGAATTAAGGGTGATGAGTCCTAGAACATCCCTGCAGGCTTTCCTTTGTCATTCACCACTTTGAGCACAGGACATGGTTATTTGCACACCCAGTGCTCCAAGAACCCCTTGCACGCCCATGGGTTTGCTGGTTCTTTGGGGTTGCTGTGGTGCAGTGACACTGGATTTACAGCTTGTACTCTGTCACATTGGCATCTTGTTCTACACCTTTAAATTCCACCCACATCTTTTAATTCCGTGGCTGATTTGCAGAGCAGCTCTAATGGTTTGTGTGTTTATTAGAGAGGCTTTGAAGGAGCACCTACGTGTATGAAGGCATGCACACAGCAGCTCAAAATTCATTACCTGCACCACATGCTGCCCCTGGTAATGCACAGAGATCATCTCTCTCTTTCACTGCACAACTTTCAGGGTTGTCTAAACAAAGTCTTCAGCTTGGGGTTGTTGGAATTGGTGATTTTTTCACTGTTTTTTTTTTCCACATAATCAGGTTTTGTGAAACCTTTGCTCGTGTGAGGGACCCTCACTGCTGACCTAATTTGCCCCATCTTTGCCCCCTGTCTTTATTACCTGGCTGTTCTCTGCAGCACTCCCCCGCTGCCCTCCCAGCTGCACACTCCTGCAGGAGTGGGAGCACTCCCATTCCCATGAGTTACCTTGGCTCCTGCCTCTTTCCAGAAGCATCCTTTGTGTTTGCCTCTGTCCCCCTCCATGTCCTTCTCTCATCAGAGCTGTCTTCTCTCCCACATATTTTTAGTCTTTTATATTCACTGAAAGTTCCTGCCATAATCACTGAGCTGAGGAAAAGTGATTTCCTTGAAAGACAAGGGATCATGGTGAAGTTTTTCACAGTGGACTTAATCAAAATCAGGCCTTTTTCTTTCAGTTTGCATTGTGGCTTCCTAAAATATAACAGCAGGTTTCCTGAAACTCCAGAAGAGTCTGAAATAAGTCCTAGACTCCTTTTGTTTTCCACTTGCTGCTTTAAGTAGTCTTGAACAGTATTTTAGAACGTAACACAATTCCAATTTAAAAATAGGTCTGGCAACAGATCAGATGTGGGCTGGAACTTCTCAGCTTTTTAAGGGGTCATGAGATAGCAGCAGTGCCCTGATGAACTTCATTATGCCAGATGAATATAAAATGTTCATATAAAGGGAGATTTGCAAAGGCATAAAAAAGACACCTATTTTTTCAATGCATCTGGGAGTCTTAAATCTTAGTCTCATATTTAAAGATACTTCTCTTGTGTTAAGATGGCAGATTAAATGTGTAAATTTGTGTATTAAGAATAATTTTGTGATCCAGTCTTGAAATCTACTGGAATGGTCTGTAATATTACATTACAGATCCAATCAGATTCCCCATGGAGCTGTATTGTGCACACATTTAGAGGCTTTGCAGTGCCACCTTTTAGCCTCTCTTTGGCATTTACAGCTGGAAAGGGAATTAATGGATGTTTAAGATGTTGATGAACCAAGGCCTAAATTCTAATTGTTAGAGCCAACAAATTTAGGAGTTGATGGGTTTATCAGAACAAGTTATTTTAATTGTTTTACATGTGAGCAAGACCATAAATTCCACAACATATCTGCAGTTCCACACGTGTCCCCTCGTGTGTGATGTCATTTGCCAGTGAAAGCAGAGCTGATTAGCTTTATAACGTACAGTTACCTCCCGAAATCTGTCAGGAAGGTGGCCCTGTGGTGCAGGCTGTGTTGTGTGGTGCAGTGGGCTGGGGCTGGAGCAGCCTGCCCACCCGGGGAGGTCAGTGGGGCTGGAGCAGCCTGCCCACCCGGGGAGGTCAGTGGGGCTGGCAGCACTAATGCACTGGGGGCTGCACAGCTCACGCCTCACCTTGAGCATTACAGTTCCTCCTCTCATCTCGCAGCAGTTGAGCCCCAATTGTCTCTGTAGAAGTCAAAAGGTCTAATCAACCTAATGAACAAACTCAGTCATTAGTACTTTGGGAAGGAAGTGTGTTAGCACTCTGATGGTGCCCCAGCTGCAGTGGGGGTGTTGTGGGAACAGAGCCCAGCTCAGCAGCGAGAACTGGGCTGTTGTGCTGGATGGGCAGGGGCAGAGGGGCTTCCCTTGGCAGGGCAGTGTCCATACTCTGCCATGGCCATGGGGCAAATTTGGGATCCTTGCGGGTGATAGAAAGGGTTGCTTGTTTCCTGTTAAGTGCTTTGTAAGTGAGGATTAAATGAAAGCTAAACTTTCCTTGGATGAACTTCTCTGCTAGTGGACTTCACCCATTCCTCCCAGCTCCTTCTATCTCTGACATAGATAAAATATTTTTCAGGGATCCTTTGTTACATTCTGGTAGCTGAATTTGATGGGGAAGCCTTTCTCATACTGGTCAAGTAGATGTCAGCTGTCAGTCATTTAAATGCACTGAAACCTTTCAGAGTGCACACCTTGATTTTGGAGCCAGAACCTTGGTTGGCTGCAGTCAGTGTGTCATGGACACAGTCACCAGTGTCTTCTACACCAGGCACATCCCAGCCAGACCTGTTTTTCTCAGCATCTTTTATTTGAATGCTTTTAAATGACGTGTCTTATGAGTCTTTATTCTGACCAGAGCAAAGCTACAGGGAAGAAAAAAATGTGGTTTTTTCACACTCATTCTTCTTACCTGGGAAGAATGTAGTGATTTTGGTTTTCCCTGTAAATACCTGCTAGAGTAAATCAAAGACAGGTTATTGTCTTTAAAATTAACTACTCTGAAACTGTAGTTATCACATAAGAGTCTTGCTTTCTTTTCTAAATCCATGGAAATTCAGTGACCCACGGAAAGGTGACAGACACTCTCCTAAAGGAGTGATTTCTTCCCTCTTTGAATGAGCCCTATCCTGTGCTTAGAAACTTGCAACTGATCCTTTTCCTCAGTCATTTTAATGGCCTTGTCCTGACTTTACACAGCCAGTGGTAAATGAGATTGCTGATTTAAAGCTTTCCGAAATGGAATGATACCACCCTTTTAAAGGGGGTGCTTTAAGATTTCTTCCTATCTAATGTTAATTTTGAATATTCAACAGATGAAGAGTCCAAATGTATTTTAGTATGAGTATGAAAAAGCCTCCATATTAATTATACATCAGTATAATTGAGTCATTCTTTGTTACTTTCTTATTTTTAATTCAATAAATATAATTGCTTGCTCTGTTATGTATTTGTAGATGTGTGGAGGAAATTTGTGCCCTTATGGCAGATGCACAGCAGATTTCAGCATTACCATAACTCATTAAAATCGTATAAAAGTAGAGCTGCAAAACAATTTCTGTCTTCTGCCAACAAGATTGTGAAAAAGGGAAATTCCACTCATTCAATATGAGTGGAATCTTTCAGGACTGGAGAGAACAGAGTGGACATTCCTGACCTGGTCGTGCTGGGTCTGCTGAGGCAGATCAGCAGAACAGACAAAATTCAGATGACTGTGTGTCATATTTTGGGGACAGGAAGTAAAATCACCGTTTTGGATGATGAAAGTTCTTCACGAGCTTTAGCAATATGTGCATAAAACCACTGTGGTTTGTTTGGATAATACACCATTCGCCCATTTCCAGTGTTTCAGTCCCGTGGCTGGAACATGGCAATAAAGTCCAGTTCCCTTGGTGTTTGGTGGGGCCTGTTTGGGTTCCCTGTGTGTTCTGGAGGGGAAGGGGTGAGCTGAGGGCAGTGGGTGGTCAGAGCTGTTGCAGTGCCATGCTGTGCCCTCTGCAGGGGGAGCCCATCACGTTCTGTGAGGAGGCGTTCGTGTCCCACCGCTCGGCCGTCATGAGGCAGTTCCTGCAGAACGCCATCCAGCTCCAGCTCTTCAAGCAGGTACTGCCTCCTCTGCCCTGGTGCAGATTCTCTGACAGTCCAAGGTGGGGCTGAGGGCTGTTTCTGTATTCCTTGATCTGTCAGCCACAGAAGGAAGAAAAATGGTGTAGTGCAGCACCGTAGTTCTTTCCTGCTGGCTTCTCTCAGACCCGGTGCTGAGGCTTTATGTGTTGGAAGAGGTGTATGGGTTTTGCCACTGAAGGGGTCTGAGCACACCTAGACCCAACCTGTCTGCTGTAAACTTGGTACAGAAAGCACATTACTGTAAAACATGGATTAGTGCTTGGGGGCAGCTGAAAACACGGCTGTGTAGCCACACATTGCTGGTTTGTAGGGACACAGCACACCTTGGGCAGTGGGAAACATCTGGCCAGCTTTGGTGGTGTTCTCACTCTATCTCGAGTCCCTGCCCAATATAAACACAGAGGTTGTTGCAGCTGATGCAGGATGGAGTCTTTCTGGAAAGCTGAGGAATGGGGTGGGTGATGTTTGTGCTCTCCTTTGGGGTGGGTGATGTTTGT